AAATTACAGAAGTGGTAATATTAGGAGGTGGAGCTTTGGGGAGGTAACTAGGTCAGGAAGGTGGAATGCTCATGAATGAGATCAGTGCCCTCCTAAGTGGAGAAGAGAGCTTGCTCTTGCCTCTGCCGCATGCAATATAATGAGGAGATGGCTGTCTACAAACCAGGAAGCAGGGCTTCACTAGACATCAGATCTGCCAGCAGCCTCATCTTTGATTTCCCAGACCCCAGAACTGTGAGAAAAGAATTTTATTTAAGCCACCCATTCTGTGATAATTTGTTATCCTCGCCCAAACTAAGTCAATGCAGAAATTTATCTACAACTTGTTTACCTTGATTATAGATCATTCCACTCCAATACGTATAGACCTACTGCATTCTTTCTAACTGCTATGTAATATTTCACAGCATGGATGAACCAGTCCTCCCTTAACTTCTTTTGAACAAATAATATTTGGATTTACAAAATTCAAAATGTGCAGAAGAGAACATCCCTTCTACGTGTCAGTAGCTCTGGTCTGGCGGCAACCAAAGCTGCCAGTTGTAGCAGAGACTGGCTAGAGGCCGGCTAATCCCATTGCTTCTTCCTGGGCACAGGCGGGGCCATGTCCCGGTTTCCTGGATTTCAGTTGTGGTCAGTCAATCAGTTTGACCAACACAACCTGGGAAGAAGCAACAAACACAACTTCCAGAGTTGGCAAGCTTCTGCAGTGTTCTCCCTCTCAGATAACCAGCTGGCTGAATGCAGAGGGTCTGGAGGAAGACAAGACGGTGGTGCCACAAGACTGAAGGAGGCAAACTGTCAACTTGGACCAAAGGGACCAAGGACATACGTCTTGGACTATATGTGTGTCAGAAATAAGCTTTTGGGTTAAACCAGCCAGTTTAGTTTAGTTCGGGGTCATTACTTCAGCTAGCATTAACACATGAGCTTCTTGTTTATCCTGAGATGTTCCACATAATATGTGCTCAGTCACTACGTTGTCTGACTCTTTGTGACCCCGTGGACTGCAGCCCACCAGGCTCCTCTGTCCATGGAATTTCCCAGGCAAGAATTATTAGAGCAGGTTGCCATTTCCTACTCCAGGGGATCTTCCCAACCCAAGGATTGAACCCATGTTTCTGGCATCTCCTGCATTGGCAAGTGGATTCTTTACCACTGTGCCACCTGGGAAGCCCTTCACATAATATACACAAGCAATTATCATTCCTCTATCAACAGATATCTTCATTCAAGTTTGTTTCCAGTTTCTTCCTATTACAATAACACAACAATAAACATTCTAAAGAAGGCTTCTAGACACATTCCACCTTTAAGAGATCGTGTTACAAAAGTAGTAGGTACCTAGGAACCTGCTCCAGCTCAGTCAAGTACTTCCCATCTTTTGCTGAATTCAGCTTGAGTTCATCAAGTTGTCATGGTGCCAGCCTGGGTAAACGTGAAGTTACTCTCTGGCTCAGAATTCAGTTTGATGTTGAGACTCTACTTTCTGCATGGACTGATTTCTCCCCACTACTATAACCTCCTACTTACATATTTTTTTCCAGGCTCTGAGACTCTGTCACCATAGTCCAATGTGTATGCCCTTGGTCCCTTTCCTGGATTTGCCAAGATGTCAGATTCTCCCCAGGCTCCAGACTCCTAGCTTGTGCATATCTTCTCTACTTGTGAACTCCATTGATTTAATCAACACCATGCCCGAATATGTGTCTGTGCAGGGACTATTCCAGGTGCAGTGGTGGGAAGCACATCTATGTCAGGAATGGATGAAATGCCCTCTTACAAGAGATGACTTTATACTACATGTGAGGTGTGATAATGGAGAGGGGGGGGGAAGGGGGGAGAAAGATTCAAGGAGTTTATAGTTGGTCCTGGCACTGATATGGAACTGCTAAGAAAATCAACTTAGGAGACCTAAATTTGTGCTTTTCTTTACATTCAGGTTTTTCACATATGGTACACATTCATTTATAGATTTCAACTCTCTTTCATTTAAGAAGTCTATAAAACTTGAACTATTAAAGCTGTAATTACCACTTCAAGGCATCACTAGTCTTGAAATTCGTCCTTTTCCCTCTACCCTGCAGGTGCTAAAAGCAAAGGACGATGCAGGTAAACCGCTTAAAGGCAACAGAGAAAGAAGAGGAAGTATGAACATAATTTCCCTCCCAGCTTCTCAGCCCAGACAGTGACTCTCATCTTCTGATTCTACACACTGTACTTGATGCCATCTACAGGGCTTTCCTGATGCTCATGGTAAAGAATCCGCCTGCCAATGCAGGAGATGTGGGTTCAATCCCTGGGTGGGAAAGACCCCCTGGAGGAGGAAATGGCAACCCACTTCAGTATTCTTGCCAGGGAAATCCCATGAACAGAGGAGCCTGGTGGGCTACAGCGCACTGGGTCACAGAGTCAGACAAGCCAGAGTGACTGAGCACACAGCACATAGCACACACTGCCTTTTGTCTCCTAGACTATACTCCGTGACAACGGGAACTAAGTCACCTTGTTTACCACTATACACCCAGTGTTTATTTAACTGTTCTCACATGGAACATACTTCATACGCTGAGATTCTGGCCTCAAACAGCCACCAATTCCTTGCTCATTAAAAATATGAGATCCTTGGAGAAGGAAATGGCAACCCACTCCAGTATTCTTGCCTGGAAAAATCCACGGACAGAGGAGTCTTGCGGGCTGAAGTCCATGGGGGTTACATGACTGAGCATGTGTGCATGAGGGTGGAGGGAGATGGGTTGGTAGCAATAAACTGGTAGAACTAAAAAAAAAAAAAAAAAATGAGATCTTAACAACTAACAGGCCACATGGAGAAAGCCCAGGAGATAAGAGGAAATAAAATGACCAGATCTGCAGAGCAGGTTCTGGCTCAACTAAACCATCAAGCTTTCTACTTTGGAAGAAGTAGAAAACAACCCATCAACCAATGTATAGTACCCTGATCACCAAGAATGTGGGTCAATAAACATCTTGGATTTTCACTTTTAAGTCAGTAGCTCCTTTTCACTGGGGAAAAAGAGAAGGGGAAAAGGTGGTCAAATTTCTCCCTTAAGTATCTATTATTCTGCATACAATTTAAAGGCGTGCAAAAAACACAAAACCCCCACAAATTTTCTGAAGGCTGTTCATGGTCCACAAGGCCAATAAACTCAAGTTAAGAATCTCTGGTTTATGGATCTATTGTACAAATCTTGAGACCTCTAATCTTTATCATCATATTTAGCTCCTGATCTGATCCCCATCCTTCTCTCTGCAAAAATAAAAAGGCAACACACAGCAATAAAGGTGTCAGTAGTCAACGGCTGAAACCAATCTTTACAGTAACGCCTGTGCTATGCTTTCAAACTTGGAAACTCTGGCACTTCTCTGTGACTGGGATATTCTAGCCTCTCAATTTACACCTGTTTTATACCATATTAGCTTTACAGGATCCCCTCCTGAAACATTCTCTAATCCCACCAAGAATGTGGAAACGTGCTAACTTGGTGGCCGCAGCTCCTAGCTGACTGCTTTGGCTTCGTGGTCGCTGGATTTCCTGCACAGGGCTTCCGGTGCCTGGAAGGGCTTGGGTGAAGATGTCTTTCATAATGACTACTATTGATCTGAAAAACATCCAACTGAGAAGACTTTCAAACCTAGCTCAATCCACGTGGCTACTCCTCACTCCATTTTACCAAAGGCTTTCAGTTTCATCTTATTGACCTCCCCAAAGGAACTAAGTGGACAACCTGAGAAAAACTGAAGTTCAATGACGTCACACAAAAGCCAAGGTCTTTGACATGACCTCGAATCTGCTGAGCCAAATAGCACTAGCTTAATGGTCCCAGTTGCCTCAGGGAAAAAACGGCAACCTTCCAAGGCCCCAAGACAGGTGATCATCTGAGCTCCAAAACTGAGAACGGAGAGAACACCTTCCCTATCCAGTCAAGTTACAGGGAAGGCCGAGCCGGGCGCTGTAGAAATAACTTCCGCCTAGAAAAAAGTGTCGTCACAGAGGCGAGCTTCCGGTTCCACTCTGTCCCGTGGACCGAGACCTTTTATTCCAGTTGGCAGTCGTCCACACCGCAAGGCGACCCCACCCAGCTGCTCCCTCGGGTTTCTCCACACCCTGCGGAGCCGTTCGCACGTCTCGGGGGTGTGACGGTTACGTGGCGACGTCACTTGGGAGAACGCTGCAAAGCGAGTAGCGTACCCGTGATCTTGCGGGACCGGAGCCTTGTCGCGGAACAGCGCGCCGAGCGCGTGGAGGCGGGACTAATTTATGACTGACGTCCACATCCACTTACTGCCATTCTGATTCCTTCTCAAATAAGCCAATGAATGCGACGACGGAGACGGCAACGTGCCCTCGCCGCCAGAAGTGGCTCCGCCCCCTCCACTAGGTTGCCCATTGGTCGCCATGTTTAGTGTGGCTACTACCGCTGCTACTTTCAGCTCTTTTATGGCTTTTCGATGCCCTTGCTGAACTCCTTTCAAAGTATTTCTTCTCTTCCACTATCAAATTCGTCTTCCTTGGGCTTCCTTCTTGCTCGCTGCTTATCCAGCCACACTTGAAATGGCAGCTGGAGGCGGGGCCGAGGTGGGGGGCATGCCCGACGCGGTGACGTCAGCGCGCTGCGTGTCGGCAGGTGGAGGGAGAAGGGAAAGTTTGGCCAGTGCGTGGGGCTGAGGTGGAGGGCGGGACAGAGGGGCTGGGCCCAGGCGAAGCTCTTGTCGCTGCTGCCGTGGAGGCCGAAGCCGGGACCTGGGCCGGGGAGGGGAGTGCCGGCCGCAGAGGAGCAAAGAGGCGAGGTTCGCGGGTGCTTCGAGCCCCCCACCGCTCTGCCGCGCGGCCACCCAGCGCCAGGCGCCGTCCGACCCGTGGCTATTCGCGAGGCGGTTGGTGGGGGCGCGGCGGCAGCGGTTGGGGGTGGGGAGAGGCGCGGCGAGGAGAAGAGAGAGGTCAGTGAGTTTGCGGGAAGACCGAGTGTCGTGCCGCCGTCATGACCGAGGACTCCAGTGCCCTGCCCTGGTCCATCAACAGGGACGATTACGAGCTGCAGGAGGTGATAGGTGAGAGCTGGCGCCGCGGAAGGAGGAGGCGCCGCGCTGGGCGGCGGGTGACACGCCGGAACGTGGGGTCCCGCGGGAGCTCGGAGAGCTTAGGACTCCCAGATATTCTTGGGCGCTAGAGTGGCTCGGGGGTTGGTAGGGCGCGTGGGTGAGGCTCGGGGTTTGTGCAGCTCCTGCAAGGCGTGGAGGGGATTTTGAGAGGCGCGCCGGTGCGGCGAGGTGGGGTGGGGTCTGAGAGGCTCGTCAGAGATTTGTGTGGCGACAGATGTTTGAACCTGAGCCACAGATGTGTCTGAGAGAAAAAAGAAAAGTGAATATGTGGGACAGGCCTTTACAAGGCGTTGCGAGGAATGGGGTATTGCAGTTGGGGCTCGGTCATCTATTTATGGGGTGATAGGTTAAGGTGCTTCTGTTCAGTTCTGCATCCGCGTGAGAACCCCCCGGGAAGTGCCAGGCATTGCTCGGGCGGAACTGGGGAGCCTCTCCAGATGAAGCTGCAGGTACGGCACTGAGCGACGTAGACCAACTTACGACTGCTTGGAATTGACTTGCCAGCCAGGGAGGTAGACATTAAATAAGTAAGCAAATAAAAAGAATTACAGGTTTTGGCAGGTGCTAGCCAGGAAACAAGCAAGATGTTCTGAGAGAGAATAACGTGGAGACCTAATTGGGGCCATTTCAAGGAAGATGCTTTTTCTGAGGTGTCGACATGTAAATTGAGCGCTGAAGGATGAGAAAGAGTCTTGAGGGCAAAGGGAAGATTATTCCTTACTGAGAGATGAGGAAATGCAAAGCCCCCAGAGAAGGGGAAAAGCTTGATGTGTTTTAGGATCCGAAAGAAGACTGGTAAGGTTAGAAAGGTAATAGAGGAGCCAGATTTTAGGGACCTTCTCAGCCTAGGAAATTTTAAGTGTTATTGGAGGGTTTCAAGCAGAGACATGATACGATCCTATGGGTCTGGCTGTTGTGTGTGGAATGGATTTGAAGGGGGTCTGGGAATACCAGCTGGCAGAGATCAAAGCTTGCACAAACATGAATTGTAATTCTCAGAGAGGCACAGTGATTGGGGGAGGGTGGGGACTGGGGATAAGGGGAGTATTTGTTGGACAACAATAATCTAGTGATCTTAGAAATCAGAAGGGAGTGGGTTTAGCTAAACAGAAGCTTGATCCAACAGACATCAGCAGACCCCTGTGTATTGGAGGAAGATTGTCTGCATTGCTAGATCAGCATCCTGTCCTAAATTAGTTTTATAACAAAGAGTGGCTGAAAACTCCTTACCTGTTTGGGAGTTGGGGGGAGTGACTGTTTATTGCATTTTGTCAGTGTTTAGAGAAACTTTGTCACATTTCTTTTTTTTTTCCCCACTTGCTTCTTGTATCAAAACAAATCTGGGGTAAGATTTATGTGAAGACATCCAGTCTTTCTCCTTAAGTTGCTTCATGGATCTGGTCCTTACCATGTGCTGCATCTTTGATCTGTACTGGTTCATTCTAAAATTGCTTCTGAGTACCTCCATCAGAATTTCATATTGAAAAAAGGGATTAAGTGGGAGACTCCAAAATGATGTCTAAAAAAGCAAGGAAAAGGGGTCTCTTATCATTTTAGAAGAGGAATTTGGTTTACCTTTCTGGTAAGGTGTACATCTTTCTAGGGTGGAGAGTAGCATTGTGGTTGTTAATGCTTTTGGTATTAAGGTGGCACAAGGCTCTAGAGCTTTAGAAACTTGTTGATTTGCTATTCTCAGACCAATAGGGTGTCTGTGAGTGAGCAAAAGGGAGGCTCAGCCTTCTGGGATAGGGTTAGTCATCTTCTCACTCCAAAAGTTAAGAACTCTCATGTGATTTGACCACCTTACTTTTAAAAACAACTTTACTCTGAGATATAATTTCACCCTTTTTTTTTTTAGTATAAAATTAACCCATTTTAAAGTGTAAAATTAAATGATTTTAGTAAATTTATTGTGGTGCACCAATCAGTATAATCCAGTTTTAGAATATTTTCATCACCCCAGTGAGATCCCTTGTGCCTGTTTACAATTAATCCCTGTTCCTACCTCCAGTTTCAGGCATTCGCAAACGTTTCCAACTCATAGATTTGCCTTTTCTGGACATGTCATGTAAATGGGATTGTGTAATATATAGTGTTTTGTGTTTTGCTTCATTCACATAGAATAAAATTTTTTCATTTTTAAAAACAATTTATATACCATAAAATCCACCTGTTTTAACTGTACAGTACTATAGTTTTTGGGGTGTTTTTTTTTTTTTTTTTTAGTAAATTTACAGAGTTGTTCAGTCATCACCACAATCCAATTTTAGAACATTTCCATCATTCCAAAAAGATGTCTCATGTCCATTTGCAGTCACTCCCTGTCCCCACCCCCTGCCGAAGGCAACCACAAATCTACTTTCTGTCTCTATAGATTTGTCTTTCCTGGACATTTTCCCATAAATATGATCATATAATACGTGATCTTTTGTGTTTGGTTTCTTTTACTTGGAGTAATGTTTTTTGAGGTTCATCCATATTGCTGCCTGTATTAGTACATTATTCCTTTTTATTGGATACCACTTGATGGTCACTGGATTGCTCCCGCCTTTTGCCTATTTTGAATAATATTGCTGTGAGCATTTTGCATCAAATCTTCAGGTGAACATGTTACATTTTTATTGAGTGGAATTGCTGGGTCACATGGTAGATTTATTATATGTTTAACTTTTTAAGGAACAAATTTTTCAAAGTAACTGTGCCATTTTACATTCTCTTCGGCCATGAATGAGGGTTCCTGTTTCTCTGCATCTTTGCCAGAATTTGTTGTCTGTCTTTTTGATTAAAGCCATCCTAATGGATGGGAAGTATATCTGATTGTGATTTTTGTTTTGCATTTCCTTAATGACTAATGATGGAGAGCATCCTTTCATGTGCTTATTTATTAGCTTTTCATATCTCTTCTTTGGTGCAATGTGTATTCCAATCTTTTTCCCGCTTGGGTTGTCCACTGGGTTGTTCTCTTCTCACTAAATTATAGAGGCGAGTGTGAGTGTTAGGTGTCTATTCATTCTGAATATGAGTCCTTCACCTGATACGCGATTTCAAATATTTACTCTGTCTTTTCATTTCTTTGGCTAAGTGGGACAGCAGGGAGTCAGGACTTGCTGGATCTTAGTTCTCTGACCAGAGATTGAAAGTGGCCCATGGCAGTGAAAGAGCCAAGTGCTAACCACTGGACCACCAGGGAATTCCCTTATTACAGCATTCCCACCCCCCCCCCCTCAATTTTATCATTTTCTTAATGCTGTCTGACAAAGCATGAAAGTTTTGAATTTTGGTAGAGATTATTGATTTTTGCTTTTATTGATTGTGCTTTGGGTCTTGTATCTAAGAAATCTTAACTAGCCCAACATCACAAACATTTTTTCCTATGTTTTCTTTTAAATATTATAGTTTTAGCCCTTAAATTTAGTCCCCTGATGTATTTTGAGTTGAGTTTTTTGTAAGGCATGAGGTAAGGTTTTACAGATGAAGACACGTGCATGCATGCTCACTCAGTCGTGTGACCCCAGGGGCTGTAGCCCCCCAGGCTCCTCTGTCCATGCGGTTCTCCGGGCAAGAGTACTGAAGTGGGTTGCCATTTCCTTCTCCAGGGGATCTTCCCAACCCACAGATCAAACCCAAGTCTCCCACATTGCAGGCAGATTTGTTACAGTGTGAGCCACAATGGAAGACTTAGAGATATTGTAAGTGCAGGAGATAGAGGAATTGAACGTACATCTCCTGCATTGGCAGGCAGAGTCTTTAACCTTTGAGCCACCTGGGAAGCCCAGAGACACAGACAGAAAGGTAAAATGACTTGTCCAAAGTCAGAACTATTTATGGGCGCAGTCAGTACTGGTGTCCAACTATTGCCTAACCCAGGATTCTTGTCCTTGCGTCTGCATTTTGATTGATTTTTGGAAATAACTGAAAGATGGTGGTCATCATCCCACCTTAAAGGAAATATCCTTGCAATGGGGGGCGGGGAACTGAAGCAGATTTTTTGTAGATAACCCTTTTAGTTAGATTTATTCTCTTTTGCATATCCTGTTTTGTCATTTTTAAAATGTTTTCTTTCTTGTTAATAAGTTCCTAGAAGTTCCTAATGTACTTCTATTACTCCATTCTTCATACACTGTGTCTCACTTCATCTTCTCAAAAGGGAGGAAAAAAAGTTTTTCCTTGAACTACAGCTTAGCACAAGCAGCAGGGGCCAATAAAGCACTGTACAGTTTTTCTAACTTTGCTTCCATGCTGAAATGTTTGAAATACAGTATTTTGTAATAAGCTCTAAGTAGTTTTCAAAATGGATTTTTGTAATTTCTCCAGATTATACTCTCTTTTTTTCAGGAAACAAATGATCAAAGTCTGGGAAAAAAGGCTTGAGGGAATCTTTTGAATATCTGTTTTCAAAGATTCTATTTTAAGGAAATAATATCATGGTGTCTCCTTTCTTATCAAAATGTATATTTATTTGAACTATAATTTTTTTTTACATGTGCTTCTTAGAACTGTGTTTGTGGGGTTAGTGTCTCATGTTGTTTTGTTCTCTCATTTTCTAGCAAAATCCTATAGACAAAATTCCCTTCCTAGAACATAATAAAAAATATAGGTTGGGAATTCAAAGGACTTCCTTTTAAAAAATTCTATTATCTTAAGCATGTTTTGGCAAGGGTTTGAAGTTCTTTAAGTATGATTACTTGTAAAAGATGTAGTATTAATCTCACAATAATCATTCATCTTTTCAGTGTTTTTGCACTCCTTCCTAGTCTCTGCTGTTGTATTAGAATTTCTGACCAGGCGTTCTGCTGTACTTGATATGTGTTGAAGCAACTGTAAGAGTATGGACTTTGGGGTTGGACTGACCTGGGATTCAAATCCTGGCTTTACCTTTTGCTACCCATCTGATCTTGGGCAATTTATTAGTTTTAGTTTCAGGCTTTTGTCTGTAAAATGGGGATAAT